CTCTCTCTCTCTCTCCTCTCTCTTTCTAACGAAGAACACCCTTTCCTGGTTTACTCAAAGACAAGGCTGACACAGCGGTGCTCGTCTGATCAGTTCAAATTTGAGCATAGATTGGGACGTCCAGATGATCAAACATAATTCATCTCTATCTTGGTGTAGATCCGTGCAAAATTGGAAAAGTTATTAATTGTTATCTCGGGTCATCGAGTGTGGGACAGTTGGTATGTATGTCTGAGTCAAATCTTATTTTTCTTCTTATTATTATTTTTGTTTTAGTGTTTTACGATGCCCGCCACTGCACAAGGTCATGTGAGCGCGCGAGACACTTTTAACATTTTCAGTTGGTGGGAAATTTGGATTTTGCCTGGGTGGCGGTCAAAGCCTACTGTTATCGTTTTCTGACCCCCAAAGGATCTTTAACGTGTGCAACTTGCACACAGGACTTCCTAGATTGTTCGTCCTTATCCGAGAAGGCTAGGTGTGGATCTTTCCTACCATAAGATCAGGGATGTGGCTGAAAGACAGCAGTAAGAATGAGCCCAGGTAGGAGAATCAGTAGAACGGCTACGGAAAGAGTCAGGAGCCCAGAGGAGGGGCCAAAGGAGGTGAGGGGGTGGGGGCAGAAAGTGGAGACGAAAGCAGACAAGATAGCATTGCTAGCAAGCACGAAAGGAGTTGAAAGGAGACAATTTTGTAGAAGAAAACTTTTTGGTCGCCTTTCGGACCTTTGGATGAAAGGCGAACACCTTAACCTCAAGGCCACGAGAGCTCCAAATCTTAATTTTACATGCTTTTATCCATGTGAGCAGAGGTTTATCTATTAAAGACTGCACCAAAAAATAGCAAACAAATACACAAAGAAACAAACCAACAAACAAATAAAATAACAAACAAATAAACAAACATTCTTCACGGTGCAAATCAGTATTTTTAATTACAAACATATAAATACAAATACCTTAAGAAAGCCCAGAGGAAATATCACAAGACAGTTACTGCAGTGGAACCAACAAGGAGCACGAGGCAGGGGTAGGCCACGGGAAACATTGAGGAGATGCGTGGAAAGGGACATGAGAGAGATGAAGCTCACTTGGAACGAGCTTCAAAGGATGGCCCAGGACAGAGATAAATGGAAGGAGCTTGTATGTGGCCTATACCCTGCCAGGAGGGGTGAAAGGCATTGACGATGATATAAGCACAATCAGAAAAGCTGACTATCATGTTTAATAAGGCTCATAATTAAATTAAAGGATGGACATGAAAACTTTGCAAGATTTTCTGTGGATAAAACAACCGGCAAACATACATCATGAATGACATGCAGCACTTCTCAGACAAACATTTTATCCCATCTATCTGACTTTTATCCTGCTTCTGTTGCCCTTGTTAAATGATGTCCCTCAAGTTTGATTCTGCTTGTTTTTTTAGTCGAGCTTTTTTCCTTCTTTTGTCCCATTTCTATCCTTTTGTTGTTGTTGATATTTTATCCTCATTTTGTCCTGTTTCTATCTTGCTTTTTTCGGATTTCTATCCTTCTTTTGACCTAATTTCATCTTTTTTTTCAAAGACTTCTACCCTTCGTTTGTCATAATATTTCTATCCTACTATTTTTTTTGCTGTATTTTTAATCCTTCTTTTGTCCCTTTTGTATACTGCGGTTGTTGTTTTTTTGGTCTGACTTTTGACATATTTTGTCCTATTACTATCCTACTTTTCTGTCGTATTTTTAGGCTTTTTTGGTCCTATTTACATCCTTCTTTTTGTCTCACTTGTAGCACTTCTGTCCTGCTTTTATTCAGTTCTTGTCTTCCATTACTCTACTTCTATCTTGGGAGTCGTTCTACTTTTATCCAGTTTTGACCTGATTTCATGCTGCGTTTGTTTCACTTTCTTTTTCTTCAACTTTTCTCCATCTTTCATTGTATATGAGTCTTTCCTTTTTCCTTCTTTTCAACTTTGGAGAGAAAAGAAGAAGACAATGTTGTTAGTTTCTTAAATGTCACTTATTTAAAAAGACAAAAAAAAGACAGAGAGAAATATTTCACAAATAATATTCTTCAAGAGAGGTAGTGCTCTCTCTCTCTCTCTCTCTCTCTCTCTCTCTCTCTCT